GCCCAGAGACAGGGAGTGCATGGTGAGACCCAGATTATGATGTCAGGAAGCCTGTTCCCCCACCGACCACACAGGTGACTCCGTGATTGTCACGTCGTCCTCTGCGCTCGTTTCTTCAGTTGCAAATTAGAATGAATGCGTCTTCATGAGACTGCTGTGGGAGTTAAAGGAGACAGAGGAAGAGGAACCTCTCTACGACCATGAAAGCAACAGACAAATGGCAGCTGTCATCACTGGCATCCGAGGAGCCGCAGTACAGGTGAGGTGTGTGAGATCACGGCGCAGTATTTCCAGACTCCACCTGCAAACGGTTCCCCGGACTCCAGCTGGCACGTCCAGGGAAAGATTTCCGATGCCCTCAATCAGCTCAGCTCTTGCAAACAAGCCCGGAAACGCAGTGCGCGTCCCGTCCCGCCTGCAGCCCAGGGGCCCAGCGGAGGGGGTGGTGCCGCTTGCCACCTTCGTTCAGGATCAGAGGAGCATCTGACCCCTGCCAGGGGCCACGGCAGTGTGGGGTGGGAGAGCCTGACACCTGTCCACGTTTCCGTAGAGCAGGGGCTCGCCCACATTCTCTGCGAGGGCCAGATGGCGAACATCTTGGGCCCTGTGGGTCGCTGTCGCAGCCGTCAACTCAGCTCTGCCAATGCGGTGTGAGTGCAGCCGCAGGCGACGTGCAAAGGAACGGGCATGGCTGTGTGCCAGCAAAACTTTACTTACAGAACCAGGTGGTGGGGTGGACTTGGCCTTCAGACTGTAGTTTCCTGACTTCTGATGCAGAAGGGTTTGGGGAAAGTTGGACTGACGTTTACTTTTTGAAGGAGTTTGATTTTTGAGATTCTGGTCATCAAGCTAAGTTGCCAGTACAGCGCAACAACTTGGTGACTTGGAACGGAGTCTTCTTTGATGATCGCGCCTTCCAGGAGAGCTGCCCAAGGAGGACAGCTGCGTTAGATGTGTCTCAGGCAGCCAGGCCTTGCTCACACGCTGAAGGAGGCCCTCGCGGTGCCAGGAAGCAGGACTTTCTTCCCTTTCCCTCCTCGGCGCCGTGTCCAGGCACTGCAGTGGCTTGACAGCCAGTGGTTTCTGGACGTGAGACAAAACCGAGCTCCTGCAGGGGAATTTCTGAGTCTACTTTTCCCCTAGGTTTGACAGGGCAGAGAAAAGCCAGCAAACATTTGCCAGGGACACGGCGGGGCTGGCTGAAATTGTTGGCTGATCCACACTCTCATTCTAGCACAGATGGCCGAGCCCCAGGAAGCCTGGATGTTGCCTCCTTGTTAGCCTGAATTCAGAGACTCCCCTGTGCCGTCTGCTCTGTCCCTGTTGTTGCTGTGCACGGGCTTCACCGACCAAGGCGGACGTTTGCTACGTCGTTTCTCTGGGCCGGGCGCTGTGTGGGGCGCTTGGCGATCGGCTCGAATCTCGGCAGGAGGCTCGTCGAGGCAGCGGCACTGGCCCCACTTGCGCTGGGGAAGCGGGGCCTCCAGCGGGCAAGGCGGCCCTCTCTATCGGGCAGCGGCCGCAACGGCGGGGCCGGGGGTGAGGCCTAGGTCTGCTCAGCTACAAAATCCACGCCTTCCGCAAAGCCAGGCCCAACCGGGGCCTCAGGACCCCCGGTACCAATGCACGGTGAGCCCGGTCGGCCTGGTCTCCGCCGGGAAGACCCCGGCCCTGAGCGCTTCCTCCTTTCTGGCCCGGGTCCCTCTCACACTCCGCCGGGGCCGTGCGGGGTGAGTGTCCCAGCTTGCTGGTCCAGTTGGAAGGTGGCCAGCTCCCTCGTAAGTGGCCCGCGTGGATGTGGACATGGGACACGGTGCACCAGCCCGAGGAGCTTTGCTCATCAGGGGAGGGGCACCTGCTTCACGTCCCCATGGTGCCTCCCCGCCCGCGCCCCCTCCATTCCTTCTCGGCACACCGAGAGCCACCCACGCCCGCTCCTACACGGTGCCTCTGCCCCACGATGGCACCTGCTTGCTCCTTCCCAGCCAGACTGTGAGCACGCCGTGGCCAGGATCCGGGCCTTCCATTCCTGCGTGTCCCCAGCGCCCAGCATGGGGGCCCACACATGGTAGGCTGTCGGCAAGTGTCTGGGGAGTGGACAGGCACGTGCCTGAGCTGACACGAGCTCTCACGTGACATGATTTGATGTCCTTGTTATGCCAGCGAGGAAGTGGGCAGAGTGTGTGCGGTCCTCCCCTTTTGCACAAGACGAGGCGGGATACAGATCCGCGGGGGCGCCTCGGACGCAGCCCTGACTCCAGGCCGGCTGTCACGCTCTGAGGATGCTTCGTGTGGCCTCCGGCACTGAGCCTGTTGGTGAGCAAGGGCAGTTCCTGTCACTGGGGCCTGCCTCCTCCCGGACTCCGTCCTCCTCCTGGCTGCCTGGGGCTGGGTGTGAGTGCGGGTATTTCTGTCTGACAGGTAAGGACACTGGGATCCCCAAAATCGAAGGAACGTGCCCAAGGCCACACAGATCCAAGTGTCGGGACTGGACCTCGGGCCCAGCCACGCCAAGGTCTGCCCGGGCCAGCCAGGCTGCCGCCACCCCCCTTGCAGCTGGTCCCACTGTCCTGCTTGTTTAGCCAATTCTGAATGTGCTTTCAGAAGGCTCGCTGGACATGTTTCATCAACTGAGATTATTATTTTTTTTCATTCTGGGTTGTTATTGTGTATCAGAAAAAAATGAAAAGAATTTAATTCATCACTAAGTACTGGGTAGGAAGAATGTCAAAAGAAACCACAGCCAAGGAACAGCAAGAAGCTCAAGGGTGAAGCTGATGGAGCCCACCGGGCCGAGACACTGGGAAAGTCTTGCCGGTGGTGGCTCTGCCCTAGGGGAGTCCACGAGGGTCTGTGTGTGGACTTTCCTGGCTGGGTTCTCTGGCATGCTTGGCCCCTTGGCAAGTGTTCAAGGCAATGCTCGTTGTAAGGAAAATTAGATGTGCCCAGCTCTGAGGTTAGGGGTACAATGGTCCACATGTTTGCATACCCCCAACATTCATGTTGAAACTTATCCTGGATGCAACAGTATTAAGAGGTGAGGCCTTCAGCAGGGGCTTAGGTCCTGAGGGCTGCCCTCGGGAGTGGGATTCGTGTCTTACAGAAGGGCTTGAGAAGACCCGATCGTCCCTTCTGCCCCTCACACCACGAGAGGGTGCTGCGGCCAGGCGCCGTCTTGGAGGTAGAGAGCTGCCCTCGGCAGACGCCGAATCTGCCGGTGCCTGTACCTTGGACTTCCCAGTCTCGAGAACTGTGAGAGATAAACTGCCATCGTGTATAAATTACCCAGTCTCGGGTGTCTTGCTGTAGCAGCAGGAATGGACTAAGACACGGGCCGTGTGGTATTTGTGTGACGAGGCGTTTCTTGTTCTAGATTGGAACAGCCATGGGCGTGGAAGGCCCGGGAGGGAGGCAGGTGGGCTGGCAGGTGGGTGGGGCCCTGGGCTGGTCACCAGGCTCCGAGTGGGCACTGCCCCCAGCCCCAGCCCTTACGGTGGAGGTGAGTGGTACCTGGGGTTTCCGTTTTCTCACCTACGGTAGAGGCTCCGGACACCGCCTAGGGGGTTGCTGGGAAGATGAACAGAGAGCATCTCTGCACACAGTGCTTCCTACGGACACCTGTGTCTGTGGCTCCGGACACACTTGTCCGTGGCTCCGGACATCGCCAGTGTGGTGTGTGGCGTCTGGGGCAGAGCCGCTGTAGCCTCCTGGGAACGTGTGTTTAGCTTGTTTGTGGAGGAGGGAGGTCGGGTTGTGTGAACCCCAGGCCCTGTCGGGAGCTGTGATCCTGTGCCCTGCCCATTTGCACGTCATTCATTGTTTGACAGAGGGGTACAGGGGAGGGAAACTTGATACCAACAGCCTGTCCTCCAGGCAGCTGCCCGAGTCCTCCTCCTCTGGCCCGGCCCAGCTCCTGGGGCACCACCTCCTGCACCCCCCGCACCACTCCCCTCCCTGCTGGGCCGGCCGGTTTTGCACCTGCCTCCCTCGCCTGGGAGCTCTCTGCAGGTGGGATGCCTAAGCCACCAGGTGGTGGTCAGCGCAGAACACTGTGACATTTTTTATATATGAGTGTAGTCCACCCTTTCTCTTCTTAAAGATTTCTTTCTTCTTCTTTTTTTTTTGTGGTAAGATGTATACAGCATAAAATTTGCCACTTTAGCTGTTTTTAAGTGTGCAGCTCAGTGGTATTGAGTATGCGTCACCACTGTCTGTCTCCAGAACATTCTCGTCTTGCCAAACCGATAGGTTCCCCCTTAAACACTGACTCCCCGCTCTTCCCTGCCCCAGCCTCTGGCACCCGTCCAGCTGCCGTCCCTGCGAACTTGAGTCACATGTGGTGCTCGGATGGGGGGACCGTGCAGCATGTGTCCTTTCGTCCACACCCTCCTGAGTGATGGCAGTCCCTGCCACGGGAGGCGAGGACAGCAGCCACGTGCCCCGTGCCACAGAGTGCCCAGGTCCCAGTGCTGGGGTGCACCTGGGTAAGCCCATGCACCCTCGTGGCCCTGCTGTCTTGGCGTGCGGGGACACTGCCACCTAAGGGGGGTGAGGCTCTGGGGGACGTCCCTGCCTTACAGAAGGGACACGGTGGCCGCTGGCTGCCTGTGGGGGCCGGCGGGGGATCTGTCCTGCTGCTCCCCAGTAACTGAAGGGCCTCTGCGCCCCACGGGAGGACAGTCTCCGGGTGGGAAGGGTGCAGTGCCGCCGTCTGGAAGCCTGGGCCCTCCTTCCCCTAGGCTTCCGACTCCAGGAACGCAGACAGGGCTCCTCGAGGCTCCCGCGGCCCGGGCCTGTTTTGCAGGAAGTCTCCTTGTTTATCCCACTTGTACGTTTCTCCTGGCAGAGACTATCCCCAGCACCGGCCAGAGTCATTCTGGGACAGCTGACCTCTGGGCCTCCGGAGATGGCTTAGGAGCCTGGGCGCAGCCTCCTGCTCGGAGCAGCGATATTCCTGGCCGCACATGAAAGGGAAGATTATAACAGCCCATTTTCTCCAGGCAGCTTATCCCGATTAAGTGGAATCAGGCAGAAATCTCCACCCGCAAGTCCTTTCTTCTCATCCTGCCCCACCGGCCGCCTCGCCCTGATGAGGTCTGACAACATGGGGGTGGGACGGGTGGGGGGATGGGGGTTGGGCTCGGGGTCCACCGGGCCTGGGCGCGAACCCCGAGCCGGGCCGAATCCCAGGGCCTGCCGAGGGAGGAAGCGGCTGGAGCGCAGGGGCGGCGGCTGGCCCAGGGTGGCACCGGTGGCCAGCGATGACGGAGCTCGGGGGAAACCAGATCGGCCGGGAGCACCTCCGCCGTCCTCCCTGCCATTCGTCATGCGTGGGCCTGCGGGGCGGGCCCTGCCTGTACACGGTGTTCCCTGAGACCTCGGAGTGAGGTTGTGCAACCCTGTGCCTGTGTGTGGCGTGTGGGGCTCGGAGTGTGTGGGCCTCCCAGGGGGTCAGGCCAGGTTAAGCCCGGGCCGAGCGGCGGCCAGCGCCAGCCCCCTCACCCTCCGCGAGCCAGCGCGGGAAGCCAAGGCCCCTGATTTATGGAGGGCGGAGCCGGGCTGTCCCTTCCCACCGCGCGGGGCTGCGCTGGCTGGGCCGAGCCCACACCTATTCTGAGCGTTCTTAATATTTTCACAGGGACTCTGGGGCAGGTGATTTATGGCCGCCTCTCGCCTTCCAACGCCTGTCTGGGGCCGGGGCAGAGGCATCTGGAAAGGCCAGGAGAAAACACAGACAAGCGAGAAAGCCCCGAGCCGGCCGCCGCGGCCACTCGCTGGAGGCAGAGGGTCAGGCCCGGACCCGGGGCCAGGCTGGGAGCTCTCCGTGACTTTCCAAAACATCGTATTATTAGAAACGAACTTGGGAACACCCAGGCCTGGGGAGCCAGGCTGTGTGGCTGACTCTGAGGCCCAAGCAGTCAGAGGGCAAAAGCCATCCGGGCCGCACTGGCAGCCCCTCCGGCCTTTCCATTTCAGAGCAGTAATTCACCGGTAAGATGGAAACTGCTTTGAGATAACTAGAGAAATGCTGGCCTTTAATGCATATAAACAAAGTAATTGCAAAGGAAAGGCGCCCGTTGGCCCCAGAGCCGGCCGAGGCAGAAAGCCCAGCCCGAATGGCGGAGACCCGGGAGCTCTGCGTGGGTGAGCGGGGCCCTCACCTGTCCCCTCCGCGGCCGGCCTCTGTGCTGGGTCCTGTTGCTGCCCCATGCTGGCAGCGCGCTCGCCCTGGCAGGGCTCTCAGACCACGGGTTCTGTGCCTTGGCCCCCGGCAGGGCTGGCCCGGCCACGCGTGGGAGCAGGGAGGGGCCCTCAGGAGTGAAGGATGGTGGGACAAAGAGGGAGGCCAGGGTGGGGGTCGTGGGTGGGAGGAGCCTCGTGTGTGCAGCTCGGTGTGCCAGGTGGACAGGGAGTCTGGGGCAGCCCTGAAATGGGGGGCGTGGAGGGGACGGGAGACACGTGCCAGGTTGTGGGGGCTCCTGAGCTCACACCGAGGACTCCAGGCCTTGCCCCTAGGGCGGTGCAGCCAGGGCTTGTTTTTGTTAACTGACAAATAATTATGGTATATCATATATCTGCGAGGTACAATGTGATGTTTTGATATGTTTACACTGCGGAATGTTTATATCTCAAGCTAATTAACAAATCCATCACCTTACATACTTATCATTTATTTTTTGTGACGAAAACATTTAAAATCTACTTTTTTGCAATTTTGAAATAGACAATGTGTTGTTATTGATTGCAGTCGCTGTTCTGTGCAATGAGTCACTAACGCTTATTCTGGTCTCACTGAAACGTGGCACCCTTGGGCCATCCTGTCCCCTTGCCCGGCTACCCGCTCCCCGGCCTTTGGTCACCCCCTTTCGACTCTCCGCTCCTAAGAGTTAGGCTTTCTGTAGATTCCACATTTTAAGTGATACTTCTCAAAAGGAGACATACAAATGGTGAACAGACCTACAAAAAAAAAAATGCTCATCCGTGCAATCGTCGGGGAAATGCAAGGGGAGCTGAGCAAGGCTTTGAGGCAGACTGCGGGGACGTCGGCACGGGGCAGGCTGGGGACTGGGGGCTGGACGCCCTGTCGTCTTCCCAGCGTGGAACACGGTGTGGCTGAACTTGAGCGACGAAAGTGATGGAAAGGAGGAGGTGGGTGGGGACTGGGGGAGACAGAGGGAGCGGGCTCAGAGCCCCCCTCCCTGCGCATGTGCGGGGTGGGGTGGGGACGGGGAGCCGCGAGGTGGGAGGACAGCGTCACCGAGGCAGCCGGCCTGATGACCAGGCGGATGGTGGTGTCCTTCCCAGGTGGCGGCTGCAGGAGGTGGTGAACGTTCTAGATTCGCACGTGTGATACCTCAGTGGCCCGGAGAGCAGCCCCAGGGACGATCTGGCGGACAGTGCAACGCGCACCGCAGGAAGAAGGGCTGGGACTGAAGGGATGGAGGCCCAGGGGTGCTTCACTGTTTACCCCGGCGGCTGGTTACCCAGTCGGGCTGGTTAACTCCATTCTCTTGCGGGGCAGGATTTCACCTCTTCTCTCCCCTGTGGTTTCGTGGTGATATCCGTGTTTGCCCATGAGCATGAGCTCTCCCGAGGCAGCCTGCCTTTTTTTAACAGGTGTAAGCCTGGGTTGCCCATGGGCGCGTCCCGGGGACCCGAGAACAGCTCTTGTCACTGTGGCGGCTCCCTACAGAAGGCGGCGAGCTACAGGCGTGTGCCTCGACTTCCCCATCAGCGCCTGCGATCCAGCCTCGGGGGCCCGGCCAGCTCCATCCCCCGGGCCTCTGAGTGACTTCTGACCCCGATCCACCTCTCTGGTGAGATTTATTAATTACCGTACTTGAGACAGCTTCGTGCCAAGAAGTTCAAAGCATCTTCCAACCTTGACCCGTTAATCCCATTAGCATCCCGGGGAGAGCGGAAGGCACTGGCTGGGTCCCGTGATCCCGCCCGCCCCGCCGTCGCGCCCGTGGGGAAGGGACGGGGACGCTTGAGCGAGGAGAGCGTGTCCTGGGTGTCCTCTGGGAGTCCACGGCAGGCCCGGAAAAGAAGGGAATTTCCCGACTCAGGCCGGGGGCCGCGCTGCCCATGCGGGCTTCCTTCCTTACAAAGCAGTCACGGTCCACGCCCCTGAGGATGTCCCCGTCCCCCAGCACGGGCAGTGACGATCTCTAAGGGACAGCGGCCCTGGCGCCGTCTGCACTGAGCCCCGGAGAGAGGCGTTTCATTACCAGGGGCAGCAAAACGCGGCCGCCTCCCCTCTCCGAGCATCCTCTGCAGAAAACACCCTCCCTCCCCCACAAAAGGGTTTGGCCTCGGAGCAGCGGCCACATCCGTCACCTGTTCAGGGAGCGCCACAGCTGTGCGGTCCCCAGGGGGCTACCTACCAGGGCAGGGCTGCTCCCCGGGGTGCCTGAGGGGACCCACGGCCAGAGGCAGCTGGATAAAGAAGAAACAAGATGTTCTTTCTCCTGCCTGTATCCCTGCACTCTCAAGATTCTACATTGTTTTTAATTTTCAGCCTAATTTTAGTCCAAGAACTTGGAGAAGCTGGAGAAGGCTCTTAAAACTTGTTTTTTTTTTTTTTTTGTAAACAAGCGCACTTTTCTGGCCAGATGTTTCTTTTTTCCTGGTCTTGCAGGGCTGCGCCATTGAGCTGTCCGGCTGAAACTGAATAAATCTTTGTTTTACGGCTTCTTTGGTCCTTCAGAATTAAGGGCCTCAGGAAGGAATCAGATCTTTTAATCCTCCGTCTTGGCCTTAAATGACCTCGCAAATGCGCCATTAGCTGAAAAATCTTAGAGATATTTTTGTGGCTGACCTGAAAGCACATTAGCAAAGTCCCAGACCCTAATATTGGGGTGGTTAGTCGTGCCCGGAATGGGATCACCAGGCACAGCCCTTCCCGGCGGGGCACCGCCGAGGAGCGAAAGCATTTCTTTTTCATCACCAGGGTATCTTGCATGATTAGGTGCGCCTTAGCAGTGACCAAGACAACAGTCGCCTTCTGTCTCCAGCTGGGTGCCCCATTTGCAGTCTGGGCCCTGCCTTCAAACTGTGCAGAGGGGTCCCCGGCATGACCTCCGCGGGGTCCCTGAGCCGGCTCCCCGGAGAAGAGTGTCGGGTGCGGGCGGACGCACCGTAGGGAAAGGCGTGCGGCACGGGGGAATGTTTGCACGGTTTGGGGAGAGCAGGCTCGTTCCAGCTATTTTTACTTCTAAAAGGGCCCTGGCAGCGGGACAGCCTTGTAAACTCTGTTGTGAGCGATACGGCAGCAGCCAAGCGCGCAGCACTCCCAGTGCCGGGGAGCGCGGGCAGGCAGTCGGCCTGGGGCTTGGACAGGTTTTCACGTCCCGGGAGGAAGAGAAGTTATTGCCCAATCTTGAGAGCTGGGTCTCAGAGCCTTGGTGTCACGTCAGACCGCAGGGCCGGGGAGCTGGAGCTGGAGGCAGAGCCCCCGTGGCTCCTTCGGGACCCCCGGCCTGCAGGGGCGTCCCAGCGCCGTCCCAGCCCCGGTCCCCAGAGCAGAGTCTCATGCTCCGATGTCTTGGAGCTTGCAGCTCCTCCTCTCTGGAGACGCGCCGTGCCTTTTCCTGGCCCCCGCCGTGTGCGTGGGGCCGCCGCCGTTCCTGTCATCCAGCTCCTCCGCCCTCCATCGCCCTCCTCTCCTCCCACTCCTATTAGCCTGTCAGATCCTGGCAATTCTACTTCTGGGTACCCGTTGGAGAGTCCATCACCCAGGCCCTGTCAACAGCCTCGTCAGGGCTCGTTCCTGCCTCTGATCTCTCCGAGCCTCCCCTGTCAGCATGGTGCGAGTGACCTTTCCTAAGCTCAGCCCTGACTGTTGCGCTCCGCACTCCTCCATGGCTCCCTATTACCACAGGATCGAGCCCATTCGTCCACCCTGGTTGGTTCAGGCCCCTCACAGCGCAGCCCCAGCTTACCTTTCTGGATAAGGACTCGGGGTCTTCCGGCCGCATCGGACAGAGACTTCTGCTGCTCCTGTCCCTTTCTTCGCTCACTGTATTTCTCTTACCTGCACGGAACCCCCGTGCCTGCCCAGCTGCCTGCCCGCAGGCCTCGCCAGCTGCCGAGAAAAGCAGGTCCTGGACTCAGGTGGGAGAAAGTGAGCAGCGGGAAAAGCCCGTTTAGTTGCGACACAGAAAGAAATCTGGACCCATAAGAGAAACCAAGGAAGAGATTTCGATGTGGCTCCTTTAGCGCGCTGTTTTGGCATGGGGACGTTTTGGCGAGCCACCCCCTGGTCAGCTGTATCATTTGACAGGTGACACGCGACGCAGATGCCCTGGCCTCACCCCTGAGCCCTGTGCCTCTGTCGAGCCCACCCTGGGGGTGAGCAGGGCTGAGGGGTGAAGGGATCGTCAGGGAAACGGGCTTCAGAGGCCTGGGTACCGCGGGCACTGCACGCTGCCCACTGCGGCGGGGCCGCAACCTCTAGCAGCTCCTCCCCCGGGAAGGGGAGCCTGGGTCCCCCACCCAGGGCTTCTCCCTGCGGCTGCTCTGGGGATGCAGGCTGGCCTCCCATGGGAGGGAGGCCCTGCTGCATCCTCCAGCCACCCACTGACCCGCGGCGGACCTCAGACAGCCCGGAGCGCCCAGTGGAGCTCAGCCGAGCTGGCCCAGACCAGAGCAGCCCAGATGACCCCCACAGTCATGAGCCTAACCCAGTGGACATTGACTTAAGCCACTAAATGTTGAAATGGTTTGTTAAACCGAGAAGCCAGTGACACAGGAGCCACCTGTGTGCTCCTTCTCTGTGCGTTCCGAGTCTAGACCAGTCCTATCTCCCCCTCCGCGTGCTGGGGACCTTGTGCGGCTCTGCACTCAGGGCACGGAATCGGCTGCTTAATTACGGAACTTCGAGTGTCCATTTGGAGAACTGAGATCGTGGACCCCTGCGCTTTGGTTTTGGTGGTGATGCACAAAGAACATAAAACGCACCCTTTTAACCACTTTAAAATGTGTAATTAAGTGGCACTAAGTGCCTTCGTGATGTCGCACAACCGTTGCCGCTGTTTAGTTCCAGAACTTCTCCATCAAACCAGAAGGAAACACCACGGCCATTAAGCAGCCACCCCCCCCCTTATTCTCCGCTCCCCCCTCCCCCAGCCCCGGCAACCAGTATCTGCTTCCTGTCGACGTAGGTTTGCCAATTCTGGATGTTTCTTACAGAGGAAACCGTGCAGCATGTGTTCTTCTGCGCCTGGGATGATGAGGTTAAATGTTTGACCGGCATCACACCGCTGGTAAAAGTGGCTCAAAGATGCTAATCGAGAGAAACATGTTCTGGAACCCGGGCTGGCTTGGGAGGAGGTTTCTGGATCCCAGGGGAGACCCGGGTGACAGGACTCTCTCTTTCTCAGCAGCGCGTTCACGGGAAAGTCACCGCTGAACCTCTCGCAGTCCATTAGGCATGTGCAGCAACACATTTACATTGATTTTTAAGATGCTTATCATTTTTTTCCCGACAATAAAAATGCCTACTTATAAGAATCCAGGCAAAGCGAATGTTTGGAAAAAAGGAAAGAGAGAGCTGCCGATTGCAAAATGAGAAAGAGCCATGGAAAATGGAGCCGGGAAACGGGAGGATGCGGGGGGCGCAAGTGGAAAGTCTGTTGTAGCGTGATTGTGGGGCTGATGGGACCGAGTGAGCGTCCAGGAGATCTGGATGAATATTACTTGGCAAAATAATAGTAATTTTAAAAAATTGACGGACCATTTTGACGTAAATGCACCAAAAATTTTCCGCTATTGAAATAGCCTTTTGAGAGTTGCCGGGTTAAAACGGACACGTTGGTCACCCTGCGTCAGGGGAAAAGGAAGATGATGCTAACCGAGCTGCCCCCCAACTTCCGCAGGGCTCGAAAGGAGGAAAATCGCACCAATTGGTATTTTCAGGCTTCCGGATTCCAGGCGGCTTGCTCAAGGCTTTTTTATGGGCGAGATATCTCACGAGCTCTTCCAGCCAACCTGTGGGTGGGTGGGTGTTGCCACCTCTAGCACGCGGGTGAGGGTCGGCGGTAAGATGCCCCCCACGGCATCACGGAGGCTGGGGGCTGCACCCTGCATGCTGGCTCTGCACCCCTGGGTGTCCCCACAGCTTCGCAGCCTCCTGTCTGGATGAAGCAAGTGGCCCCTCGTGGGCGAAAGCTGGGCCGGGCGAAAGGCTGTGCAGGGGCGGGCCCTCAGCACGCGTGAGAAGTCAGAAACAGCTCGAAGACCGTGTTCCACTCATGATCTCCTCAACGTCAGCTTCGCTTGACGGTCGACAGACACAGCGTCTTGCCGTCACTGTCTTCCACTCGCTGGTTTTGAAATGCCATCCCCTCTTTGAGCCCATCGACTGTCTTTGTTGGCCAGACCCTGTCCGATTGCTCTTGCTTTATGAATGCTGGGCATTGGCTTGCAAAGCACGCGCACACACCCAGGCAAGAAGAGACAGAGGCGGCAAGGCAGCACGGGGAGGCAGGGGCACCCCACAACACGCGGAGGGAGGTTCCGGCACAGAGGGGAGAGCTGCTCGGTCCTCAGGGCGGCCAGAGCTGACCCTCAGCACCAGGCCCAGAGAGGAGCGTGGCGGCTTCCCTTGCTCTCCCCTGGCACCGAGGCTTCTCCTCCCAGCCACTGACCGGGAAGCCCAGGGTGGACCCTGGCCAACTGGGCCACGGCCCCTCCGACAGAGCAGCAGTCCTGGCAGGCCATTTGGCTGAAGGATGCACATGTCTGTAGAGGTCGGGGCGGGGGGAGGGTTCTCCAAACGCTTGCTTCATGTCACGGGACACAGCTGGGCTCTCTGCAGTGACACAGCAGCACACAGCACGGAGCGTGCAGCGTCTTAGGGAGGGAAGTGGGGGGCGGCCCTTCATCTGGCAGAAGCCATGGAAAGAGGGCCCGGAGAAAGCCCCAGAAAGGGGCTCCGTGCCTCGTGCATCAGGGCGCCACCAAACGTGGGGCCCCAGTGGGTCCTTGGAAAGTGGGTGGCCTGCATGTATGCTTTTGATCCCTCTTTCCTTTTTTTATTAAAAAAAATTGCCATGGAGCACATGAAATGTATGGCCAAGCATATTACCATAAATTTCTTAAAAAATAGAATAATTGACTTGCAAAACAAGAGCTGGAAGCGGAGACGAAGCTGGGGAAGAGGTGGAAGGACCAGGAGCACAGCAAGGGGGCGAGCGGGACAGCATGCAGCGGAGTGCAGAGATGTCTGAGGACGTGGGGGACGGTGGCAGTGAGGGGATCCCCGACATGTGCACCTCAGGAGTCCGAAGGATAAAAGAACTAAGGGCGTGGAGGAAAAAAATTTTAATTAAACAGTAATTTAAGAGACATTTCTGAAAATAAAAAGAAGACTTGAACCTACAGATTGGAAGGGAATGCCTCGCCCTGAGCAGGTACATCCGGTGGCTGACACTGAGGCGTTCCCGGAGAAGGTGGCTGCCACCCGAACCCTCTTCCGAGGTTCCCTTTTCACCTGCGAGCTCTGGCTTGAGTCTCCTTCCAGCTAGAAGAGGGAGGAGCAGACGTGTGATGTGCTCGAAGCCACTTTGTACTTAACCAAACTGACGCGCACAAAGAGAGACAAGACGTCTTCGAATACGCAAGAATGCAGGAATGTGGTCCACCTGAGCCTGTCTCTAAGTCACTGCTGGAGGAAGGATTTAGCCAGGCAAGGGATGAGAGAAAAGAGCTGTCTCTGAGCACGGAGCCCGTGGGACTTTAGGGTGAGGGTGCAAGGGCGGAAACATTCCGGGGGGTGGAGAGGAAGGGGTGGTGAGGGAGCGCGGAGAGAGGACGCCCCTGCAGGGGCTGTGGTGCGATGGTTCTGGAACATTCAGTTCGGGAGACTGTCTTCAGGTTGGGCATGAAAAGTTCACCGCCGGCAGCAGCAGGCATGAGGGGCGGGGGTTGGATGTCGGATGTGCAGACAGACGCTGTGGACTTCTCTCCTGCTGGCCGCGTTTCTCCACGAAGCCTCGGCGGAGAGCGAGGACGAGAAGACGAGAGAGAGGGAGCCGTGAAGCCGTCATCCTGGGCACTGCTGTCTGGTTTACTGTCTGATCCACCCATTGAGCTAATTATTTCCAAAACTGTGTCTGTCATTTGTACACGTTCCTTGTGGTGCATTTTCAGATCTGCATGTTCATTCCTTATATAGGCTGTTGTTTGCTTTTAGAAGTCCGGCCTTGTTTTCTTTAAACATGTTATACATAGCTACCCCGTGTTCTGTTTCTGCTCATTCTAGCGTCTCGAGGGGCTCAGTCTTGTCGTTTCTGCCGCCACACACAGACACAGGGCCACCTCTCCGTGCTCAGTGATCTTTGTAACCCCGCACCTGGTGTGTGGGAGTGCTGACGGCCCGGACTGGAGGGTTTCCCTTCTAAGAACCGCTAGGTCCCCACCATGAAGGGTCCGGCTCTGCGGAGCCCCAGGGCCAGCCGCCCCTGCCGCGCCAGCTCGGGGCCAGAGGCTGCTGCAGAGCCTGGCCCTCAGGGACCTCCCCTCCCTCTCGCTGTGGCTCCTGGCCGGCTCGCTCATTCCGTTCCCTTTTGAATTTTGTGTGCTGGGGGTGGAGAGAGTTGGGCTTTCGAGATGTCACTTACTTCCTGGGAGTCCAGTAAGGCCCTGACAAGGGATTCCCCCACTGTTCCTTTTTGTGATCCAGGACATGCTTGTTTCTCGGTGTTGCAGAAGTGAAAGAGAAAACTCCGGTTTTCACTGTATACCTGTTGGTACCTTTCGAATCCCGTGCCACAGCTCTGCACTGCCTACCCCGCAAGGCGGACAAAGAGAACAGGCTGCTCGAGAAGGTGACTTAGGGCCGCAGGCACACATCGGCAGGTAACCGAGCACTCAGCAGTGCTCCCGGCTCTGCCTCTGCCCAGGCTGGGGGGGGTGTTGTACTCGCAGCCCCCACTGTGGCCGCACCGCGCACACTCTGGTCCCTGCCTTGCCTGGGGCGCCCACTCCTTACAGCCTTGGCTCAGCAGTGCTCCTGGAGCTACCCTTCCCTCCCCGCAGAGACTCCCTCCTCCTGCCTCCCCCAGCATGGGGTCCGTGCCTCTTCCTCCCTCCCCGCCTCCTCCGCAGAGCACAGGGCCCAGCACATCTTCCTGCTGGGGCGAAAGAACGCGGGGTCCCTGGAGGGCCCCCAGCCCCTTGTCAGTTTCACCGTCTGAGATGTGTCCAGGAAGCCCAGTTACCGGCACCGGGAAGGGGTTGGCAGGTGCTGCGATCCGGATCCCATGAGGGTGCTGCTCCGGGACTGGCGGGAGTGTGGGGGAGAGAAAGGAATGCTCCTTAGGACGCCCTGCGGTTTGGGGGCAGGGGCGGGGAGCTGCACCCCGCCTTTCTGGAAGCCGCAGAGGGGCCCTGTGCAAAGGCGAAGATGCTACATGAGTCAGCTCGGTTCCGGGCAGGAGCTGGAGCCCATTGACCTGGACTTTCATCTCTTTTCTGGCATTTCGGGGAACAAACAAGGGGTTATTACAGTCACATCTGACGCTTTGCCTCGCCTTACAGAGAACGGCGCGGCCGAGTTGCTCCCACAGCCTCTCCTTGTGGGTCCCCGGAGGCCGAAGACCCAAGGGCACGCCGGGGTGGGAGGAGGACCTCATTGCGAGACCCCCATGGCTCCCTCCCGGTCCCTGTTTCCTGAGCGGTGGGACGGGCACCTGGGACGGAGGTAGGTCGTGTTTCCCGGGCCCCTAGCTCTCTGTGGTCTTAGCTGCCTCTGCGTCCTCCAGAAGGAAGCTTGCTCCTGCCCCGTGCTCGGCAGGCATCCGCCACCTTGGTCCTGGGGCCAGGCGTCATCCGAGCACCGAGTCTGTAAGGGCAAGCTGCTCTGGGCGTCCCGAGAGTGACCCACAATGAAGGGTCACTTCATTGTGGGTCACTTCATTGTTAGACCAGGGCTGATGGCAAATCCTGGGCAGACAGGCGCCCCTGACCTAGTCTCAAGGTCCAAGGGAGCTGGCTTTTGAGCTGAGTGTCCTCAAATCAGCAGCAGGTAGCTGGGCAAGCAAGAGCAGCTGGGGAGGGCGGCGGAGTGGGGGAGGAGCTTGTATTAATCCAGCTCCGTTTTAGCTGCTTAAGACCCACAAATATGCCAAGCTGGCCCCAGGAGCAGGCCTGAAATCCTGATTTTCTGCTCTGGGACTATCTTTTTAAATGGTCGTAGTGTCATCTAGTTAACAGGGAGATAGATGTAATTTTTAAATTGTGTTTTTCAGCTTTTTGGAAGCGTTCTTGACTTTAACAATGAACTGGACATATCTAAAGTGCACGGCTGGATAGGTTTTAACATATGCCCATGGAACCAGCGCCAGGGGCCAGTGGTGAGCCTAACCACCCCCTCCAGGCTTCCTTGAGCTCCTGGGAAATCCATCCCTTCCACCTCCCCGTCCTCACACGACTGCTGCGGTGCTTTCTGTCGCCGTAAATTAGCTTGCATTTTCCAGAGTTGTATGTCGATGGACTCACACAGGACATATTTTTGTCTGACTTCTTTCACACGGCATAGCCACTGTGAGGTTCATTCACATGCATGGCATTGTGCGTGTGAGTAGTTCATACGTGGTGTTCTGCTGCGTGGATATACCACGGTTCATCATTCCCGCCTGGCGACGGCCATTTGTTGTTTGACATTCTGTTATTGCAAACAAAGCTGCCAGGAACGTTTGTGAACATCTCTTTGTATGGCCATGTGATTTCGTTTCTCTTGGGTAAACACCTAGAAGTGAACTGGCTGTAGCGTATGATAGACGTATGTTTAACTTTTTAAGAAACTGTCAGACTTTTCCGAGGTGGCTTATTCCTTTCACAATCCCACCAGACGTCCTGCCTTGTCCCTGGACTTAGGGGTAAGCCGTTAGTCTTTCACCATTAGATGGAGTGCCAGTTGTAGATATTTTCGCAGACGCCCTTTATCAGGTCGAGGAAATTCTCTCTAATTTTAATTTGCTGAGAGTGGTTATAGGGAATGAGCTGTGAGATCTTGTCAAATGACTCTCCTCCATTTATTGAGAGGATCATTATGTGGTTTTCTCCCTTACTCTGTCAGTATGGTGAATTTCATTATTTAATTTGCAAATGCAATTCAATGTTACATTGCTTATAAACCCCACTTGGCCATGATGTATTATTCATTTTGCATATTGCCTGAATTTTGTTAAGAATATTTGCATCTATGTTCATGAGGGACCTTTCTCGGTGGCTTGCTCATAACACGGTCTTCTGGTTTGGGCATCATGGTAATGCCGGCCTCAGAGAGTGAGTCGGAAAATGCTTCCTCTTCTTCAGGGTTTTGAAAGAATTTGTGTAAAATGGATTACGTCTCTTTCTTAAACGCTTGGTGGAATTCTCCAGTGAAGCCATGTGGGCCTGGGATTTTCTCTGTGAGGTTTCTAACTACAAATTAAGTTTCTTTAATAGATAAGAAGCTGGGCTGTTCAGATTATCTGTTTATCCTTGAGTGAGCTCTGGAAGCCTGTGTCTTTCAAGGAATTTCCCCATTTCATCTGAATTAAGGAGTTTATGAACATAAAGTTGTTCATAATCTTCTCTCACTGGTACCTAATGCCTGTAGAATTTGCAGTGGTGGCTTTCTGTTTTCTACTTCTGGCCTTGGTGATTTGCTTCTCTCTCTTCCCAGACCTGTCTGCTGAGCGGCTTGTCCATCGGCTCATCTCCTTAAACACCTCGCTTTTACGTCCTCCATCTTCTCTACCACTTTTCTCTTTCCTATGTCATTGATTTGTTACTGCCTTTGTTGTTTCTTGCTTTTTGATTAATTTTAGATTAATTTTCTCTTCTTTTCCTCCTTTCTTAAGGCGGAAGCTACTTGAGAACTTTCTTGTTTTCTGATTAGGTGATCAGTGCTATAAATTTCACTCTAAGCACTGCTTTAGCTGCATCTCACACATTTGGACACGTCATGTTTTCATTTTCTTTTATTTCTAATAGTCCTTGGCATTTACTCTTTGACCCATAGGTTATTTAGAATTGTGTTATTGAGCTTCCAACTATTTGGGAATTTTAGAAGATATCCTTCAGGTATTGATTTTTAATTTGCTTTCCTTGTGTGCAGAAAACATATCTTGCATGACTTGAATCCTTCCTTGTAAATGTATTCGTCTTCTTTGTCCCAGAATCAGATCTGTCTTGGCAATGTTTGGAAGGAGCTTGTGCTCTGCTGTGCAGCAGGGCCTTGGATAACATTGTTTTGTTCAGCTTCGTTTTGTTATGAGATTCGTGAGGAAAACCAAAATCAATTCTCAGTGGGGCTGCTGACCGTGTGGAGTGTGGGTGTCTCCCATGTCTGCATAGGTTTTCTCCAGGCACTCCAGTCCCCTCCCACATCCCAGAGAGTGCATATTAAGTGAATTGGCGTGTCTGAATGATCCTAGTCTGAGTGTGTGCGTGTGGGTGTGTGTGCGTGTGACTGTGCCCTGCCATGGGGTGGTGTCCTAGACATGGTTGGATCCCTCCTTGTGCCCAGAGCTGCCCAGACAGCCTATAGCCACTTGCAACCCTGGACTGGAATACTTGGGTTAGAACAATGAATGAATGAATGGGTACAAATTATTATCGAAAACTCGTCAAGTCTATGATAATCACACAAATGCATGGCAAGATGCGATGTGGAGCAAAAGCCCTCAGCGAGCCTGCCGCATTTGTGATTGCTTTCTGACTGTGTGGTTGGAGGAAGTGCTCTTACAGTTTTCACTTTGCAATATTTATTCCTTGATTTAACCCAGTGCCACTATGACCATCTTCATGCACTGATTCACCAAAAATTGGGTAAATAATGATCTTTCTTTAAATGTATATATAGCTCACATTTACTTCAGTGTTTAATATTAGAAGAGTTTGGGTCTTTAAAAGTTTAGTGATGTTTTTGTGCCCAGAAATATGTCATAAGAATTTATTTATTTATTTATTTTCAGCATATTATGGGGGTACAAATGTTCGGGTTACGTATATTGCCCTTGCCCCCGTCATAGGAATTTAACTCTTGTTTATACCAATTAGCCTTTGGTAAAACTGGTTCTGTTATATGTTCTTCCATTTAAAGTTGCAGTTTCTAGGAATTTACTCATGACATTAAATGAGGACTTACTACAGTCAAGTAGGATACTCTGTAAATCTCAGATCAGGTCAAATTGACTTATAGTAAAGTTCAAGATGTCTATATCCTTATTGATTTTCTGTCTACTTGTTCTATCAATTTTTTGTTTAAAGTTTTGGTGCTGTTTCTTTTCTTATTTCAAAATATTAAGGGGGTACAAATGTTTTTGTTACATGGAAACAGTGTATAATGTTGAAGTCAGGACTTTTAGTGTGGCGGTCACCAAAATAGTGTTCATGGTACCCCATAGGCAAGCTTTGTAACCCTCCTCCCTTCCCATCCTCCCCCCATTCTTGGCTTCCAGTGTCCTTTATGCCTGTGCAGACCCATCATTTAGCTCCTACTTATTAGTGAGAACACATGGTATTTGGTTTTCCATTCCTGAGATGCTTCACTTAGGATAATGGTCTCTACTTCCATCCAAGTTGCTGCAAAAGACATTATTTCATTCCTGAGTAGTACTCCATAGTGAATATTTTAACATATACCACATTTTCTTTATCCTTTCATAAACTGATGGGCACTTAGGTTGATTCCACATCTTTTCAATTGTGAATTGTGCTGCAGTAAACATTCAAGTGCGGGTGTCTTTTTGATAAAATGACTTCTTTTCCTTTGGGTAGATACCCAGTAGTGGGGTTGCTGGATGGAACGGCGGGACTACTTTTAGTTCTTTGAGGAATTTCCATACTGTTTTCCATAGAGGTTGTGCTAATCACGCCTTTTATTTCTACCTATGCTTTCACAATGCATTATCATTAAATTCACTTGAAATGGTCAATTATCTTTTAAAGAGAGTTTTAAAATAAGAGGCAGCGTCTTTCATATTTACCCAGTCTGTCTGGCGCTTCTCACAGCTTCATGCATGTCCACACTGCTGTCCGTCACCGTTTGCCTCCTGTGTGGGGGCTCGCCCCGCCACGTCTCGCAGTGAGGATCTGCTGGCAATCAATTTCCTCAGCTCTTGGATGTCTGAAAAAGTCTTTCTTTTTGAAAGCTACTTTTTTTTTTTTTGGCGGGTAAATATTCTAGATTGACAATTTTTTTTTTTTTTTTTTTACTTCCAGATGTCACTGTATTGTCTCCTGGCATACATTGTTTCTGATGAGAAGTCGGCTGTCACTCTTACATTTGTTCCTCTGTACGCACATAGTACGTTTCTTCTTCCCTCCTCTTGCTGCTTTTGAAGTTTTCTCTTATCATCGGTTTTGGGCAATTATATTATTGTACCTTGGTGTGCTTTTCTCTATATTTCTTGTATCTGGGATTCTTGTATCTGTGGGTTTATAGTTTTTATCAAATTTGGAAACATTTCAGCCACAATTTATTCAAATAATTTTTCCCACCTGCTCTCTTTCAGGGACTCCAGTTACATGTATATTGGGCTGTTTGAATTTGTCCCACTGTTCACTAGAGCGCTGCCCAGTCCCCTGCCATGTTTTTACTTTCTCTATTTATTGTGGATGGCTGCACTGCTGTGTCTTCAAGTGCAGCAAATGTTTGTTCTAGAGTGAAATCTGCTGTTAATCCCAGGCTTTTTTACTTAAAAGAAAAAA